AATCGAGTTGTTAGTCTCTGTGTCCTAACTTACACCTTGTTATTATAGTGACAACATATGACTTTAAAATTTTAGCAGACCATTAAATGCTTTGGCTCATTGGTTATGATTATGCAGTTGGGTTGGGAAGCCATTGATCTTGGAATGGTATAATAAGCATCACATCATTGTTGGTAGTTTGAAGAATGGTCAATGTGTTTTTCAAAAGAGTTGATGAGGGCTAAATTTCTCCTTTGACACTAGAAGCCTTTTCCTTTTTCTTCAATTTTGTTGTAGAGATGAGTACCATGTGATAATAGTTACATTGTTGTGCCTTCAGAATCTAATGGGAGGATTGAATAAAGACACAAAAACTGAAAAGCTAGGGGCAGCATTGATTTAATCGGAATAATAGGTGAGGTGAATCTCAAAACATAGACAAATTCTATGAAATATGCACTCCTATAGTAAGTTAATAAAATTCCTAACCCACCCCTTCACATCATTGGATAATTCATGATTAATTTTTTAAAGCTTGTTAAATCTGTGAAATTCATGGACCGGCCACTTCTATTAGTAGGATTAACAGGCATAAATTATGCGTATGCTCTTTTGACCTTGGATTTCAAAGAATCATCATCCCCAAACCAGCTCAAGACTACTTCTGAATTCTGACCAGATATCTACTGCTTGACTACAACCAAGGAAACAAGAATATCTCTACACTCTGAATTGTCTTTAAGCTGAGAGAAAATATGTTTTACTTCTGTTTATATTTGTATAGATTAACTTACATTTTATAAATTCAATAGCTAGGGTTTGTTAGCTATGAGGTGTTAGAGAGTACTACAAAAACATTTTCAGGCCTTTTCTAATTGGTTAAGTTTTTTGATTGAGATGATGTTTTTAATATAATGAGAACTCATTAAGGATGTCAAAATAGGTGGTCTTAAAAATAATTGGTACCTGCTTGAGAATTTAGATATTAGTGGGTCCAATGAGAGCAAGGTTGATAGTAAACTGATTTCTATCACGAAAAAAAGTAAATAATGCAAAGAGTACTTATTGTAAGGTGCAAGTAAAAGAGAACGAGAGTAGGTTATAAGTTGACTATTCTGGGAAGAGAGAAAAAAGAAAGACAACTTTTCCCTCTTGAAAATCTTTAAAGCACTCTTTAACAATTATCCCTGAAAACCTCCCTATAAAATCCCACCTCTCCTTTTTCAACCCTTAAGCTGCTCACCTAAAGAACAATCAAACCACTTTTTTTATGCTAATTGCTAATATTTTCATATTATTGTGTGCTTTGTTAAGCTTACTGTATCCTTGTTCATAAAAGATGAGACTAGAACTAACTTGAACCATGGAACTAACATGAACCATGGAACGATGCAGCTATGTCTTTAAACTAATATTATTTTAATCTTAAGATGAAGTTATGATTAGTATGTTGAGTTAGATGTTTGGTTCTCATTCATTTCATCTCATTTACTTTTCAGGGCGACATTGCTATTTCTCATATTGTTCTTGGTCAATTCAAAACATGTGTTGTGCTTCTTGGAAATTACTACATATTTGGCTCCTATCCAGGAGCGACCAGTATATGCGGGGCATTGACGGCTATTGGAGGCATGTCTTGTTACACATACCTCAATATATGCAACCCAAAACCACAAACAGGAAAATTATCTCCTGGAAAGTCTTCCACACAATCCAGATCGAGTAAAGAAAATGGAGATGGCCATGATGGCTATGGGGGGGAATCTGTGTAGTTCATCTCTGTGACAATGGCTTATCAGCTAGCATGTGACAACAGATTTTTTCATTAACCCTAGGTGTCGCTTTATCTGCATTTGTTTCTGGGTTAGAATTTGCTAATTTAATGGATCGTGGTGCTCTCTATTTAAGTTTCCCAAGAGGACTAGTAGATTAGTCAACTGACCAAAAATTTGAATCAAACAATCTGAAGGGCTTGAGTAGATGCTGCTGATGCTTTGCTGCTCGTAACAATGGACCAACTTTGTATATATAAATTAGTTGGTTTGTCCATTACACAAATGTCATGATTTGATTATTTTGATTTGTTTTTTGTTTCTATAATCTGATCCAGCCATTTGATGGTTCTTATTTTTTTGACAGCTTTTCTTGCGCAAGTATAAACCGTTGAGGTTTTCTTTTTCTACATCAAGTTATCTGTATGTGAAGATTTGGCAGCAACTCGAGAGACAATACAATATGAAGCCATTGAATGTGGGTTTCCAAGCTAAAGTTGACTAGCTTGAACAGATACCTTTTCATTTACAAGTCTTCCTGGTCTTGATTTCTGATGTGGAAATGACAGCTTGCCATTTGATGGACAACTGAAAGCAACTCTGATATAGTATTTAATTAAAATTCCGAGATAGAAAATATGAGTATTTGTGATGATTTAGGAAAATAAATATATATATATATATATAATTTAAATATGTTATCATAATATCATATTTATAATGACATATTCTCTTTTCAATGGCAAAAATGATAGATTGAGCTTAATCATCGTATAAAAATATGATCATCATATAAAAAAACTTAATCTGAAAATAGAACATTGATTGTCAAGGTGATACAAACATTAATTGTCAAGATATAAAACCATTAAATGGAATCATTTGTCCCATAATTCATGTAATGTAAGCTTTAAATATATGCTTGAACTAGCGAGACCAGTCTTTGATTTTAAGGAGTTGAATTAGAAAATGAATCAAGATAATGTATGCGAGGAACCTCGGAAGTTGTAGCTGAGAAAATTAATTAATAAGAAATCAAGTTAACTTATCTTAGATTGATTCACAAACAAACATAAAGAAACCCACATAAACTGATTGAGATTGGAAAGTCCCCACATGGGATAGAGCTCTTGCTGTCGCTGGATCCATGGTGTCGGCTCATGGGTTTACAAGAATTCTTCAACTCTTGTTGTTTATTCAAGAGTTTGTCTCAAGAGATGGCAGGATTTTATAGAGAAGTGCATGTGCAATGCAGGGTTTGAACTCCAAAAACAAGACAACTCTTTTGGCTTCCCACGTGAGATTATTACAAAAAATAAATAAAAATAACACTTACATAACAACTACATTGTATTTGCAAGCTTTCTTTCCTCATCAACTTTATCAATTTGATGTGATATATACGAAGGAACCTTAACACATGCATAGTTTTGATCTAATCCTTATCGTGTTATAATTTGATGAGTTCTCATGTCAGGCTTGAAGGTTGAGACAACTGTTTAATTATGTATTTGTTTCAATAAATTCAATATTAATGATACATAAACTATGTTTGTTTTTGCAATGCGTTGCTTGTGTAATTTGGTGTGGTGCGTAAATAATATTATAGTGCAAGATATTTTTGTTTGAGAAAGTACTAAAATAATTTTTTTTCAAAAGAACATCATTAATTTAATGTTTTTTAAAGTAAAATATATTTATTAAAATACAAAAAAACAAAAACTACAAACACAGTCTTAACACTCACTTGTTGTGGTTGTGGAATAAGATAAATCACATTTATGATTTATGTGAACATGGGTGGTTAAATCAATTTGAAAAAATATAATAAAATAGATTTATATTATTGATTGCTTTGCATGTAATCTTTTTAATCGAATTATTTTAATGGATGTGGAATATACTGCTAGCCAAAATGCCATTTACTTGTAAATTTGATAGGTACAAAGTTGAAGACAAATGGATGGTGAAGAAAGCATTTACGTTGTCAAAATATGATAATAAGTTCTGTCTTGAAAACCAGACAAGACAGCCAAACTTTGTCTTTGAACGCCATAACCCTACAAAAAAAACCTTGCAGTTAGGACAAATGATACTGAAAGAGAGCAGTCTGCCAGTCTCATTTTGATTTGACGATCAGTGAATCACATGCCTCAAGTACTGTATTTCTTACCCTCTTTATTTATAACATGCCTCGTCAAAGTCGCCAGATCCCAACAAGCAATACTGCATTTAAAAGAGGATAGGTTTTGGAATATTAAATCATCATCATCATAGTTAGCCAGTCTTTTCATTATTGAATTGGATGATTGAGTTCAGGTTTCCATCCAAAAAATTTAAGTCTTGTAATGGATGATCTATTCTTAATTTTTATATTTTTATAATTATTCCATGGAATAGATGCTTTAACACTTCCCTCATTTGTTCCTTCTCATGTAGCCTATGTTTTGGGGCAAGTCAAGTAACAGCTCTAGGATTTTTGCTGGATCTTTGAGACTCTAGGAACTTTTGAGGTCTGACAAGGTGTGTTTGTGTGGGTACAAAATCTATAGATTTACATTGAAATATAATTATTTTTATGCAAAAGTGTGTGTGTGTGTGTGTATAACTAATAAACTCTCATTCCGTGGCTTTTGCCTCATTTTCTTCCACCCATGCATGCACATATGAACTAGTATTATTCACAAAAGTTGTTCTCTAGTAACCGGATCCATGATCTCTAATAATCAAATGAAAACTGAATTCATTGTACATCACCTGTAGATTCCTGCATTTAATTTAAAACTCTATCAATCTAGAGATGATGATAGCTATATAATTATATTTATTTAGAGATAGATACAAGAAAGAGAGACAAACTGGAGAGAAGGAATTAAAAAGAATAATTTTTATACATGTTAAGATATTCTTATTAATTTTAATGGGACCGGATGTTTCTTCTTCTTTTTTTATATTCATCTCTCCTATTAAGTAATTACTCATAATTACAAGCAAATTAATTAATTGATTGAATTTATAATTACAAGCAAATTAATTAATTGATTGATTTTTTTTTTTTTTTGGTTTATTGGCCCTTCAATTCATAATTATGAATGAAGTTTTCTTGCTCTTCTCCTCCAATATTTCTACCTTAAATAAATTACAATAATACGTGTGGAAGGGAACAGGCTAAATGTCAATTTTCAAAGCTTCAGAAGAAGTGTGGATCTTTCCCAACACCTTAAATAACTATTACCAGCACAACAATTCAAGAATCAAGCAACGTAAACTGACTGCAAAGTCAAAGAGCTACATTGAAGTCAGTGTAATAAGCTCCCAAGTACATAATAATTAACCCTCCTTTTCTTGCATCCTAAGCCCTAGTATATTGCTTTCTACCTAACTAACCTGGTAATGTAGCAAAATTAAACAAATAACAGTAACATTGAACAAAGTAAAGACATGAGCAAAAGGTATATTAAACCCGCAGATCACATGCAGATGATGACACGATGTTTATGTCTTGCTCCAATGGCACAAAAAATATTTAGCAACTTTTATATCATCCATCCACCTTAGCCTGACTTGGATTTACAGTAGTATACTCTTTTCCTTGCCTTAATTTCCATGAAGTCAAACACCAAGAAGCACATAATAGAGTATTGTAATGGGCAAGGCAATCAACATCCCAAAAATAACCCTGCAAAAAAAAAAAGTTTGCAATGTAAGATTAATCTATCTAGTCCATTGATGTCTGGTTATTAAGATTTTTCTATAAAAATGGGATCACCTTCTTCACACAGTAATGGTTGATATGTATAGCTAGGGCTTTCTTGTGATTTAAATAAATTACTTACGCTGTGCTAAGTATGTCTGGATGGACGTTGTACTCCTTGGCAAATACAAAAGGGACTATACCTTGGGGAAGAGCTGCCTGTGAACAGGTAGTCAATGTTAATTGCTTAAATTTATTGATTTAGTAGGAGATTGCAAAACCAGTCAATAAAGAAGACAAGTGATCACCTTTTGCAAAGAATTGAGCAATATGTAATTGAAAGCAAAATAATGAAGATAATGCAAAGAACAGATGATTAATGACTAGAAAACAAATAATTTTTTCTTAAAAAAAATGATTGAGGAAATGAAAGGAAGCTTGAGAAGTATTTTTTCTTCTTGGCATGTTTTGGCCATGATTTCTTATAAAATAATTGTAAATGAAGCTACCTAGAAAGATGCATAAAGCTTCTTTGGATCACATCAATTAGAACATAAAACATTGAGATTAGGGTTTAATTTTGACATTCAGAAGGTCCAACCTGAACAATTGCAACATGTAAAAGAACACCACGAATGCCAATGGCAATAGAGGTTGCAGCAATCACAGCAGGGCCTGTCAAGAACCTCACTGCCATTGCAAAAGTTGCCACTGATTTTCCACAAGCTATAATCTTTGGTTGTAAAGCCATGAACAATCCTGTTTAAGCAAGAATCAATGTTTGATGCATTGTTAGACCACAAAAAAAATAAAATAAATTGTTTCAAATTACACACACACACACACACACACACACACACACACACACATATATATATATGAAAGGTAAGTACCTAGACTGAACATAGCCATTCCTAGACCTGCATCAGATAATATTGCTATAGATCCACTAACTATCGACGGCATCTTGATGTTCCACCTGAAGATAAATTTAAGGCTCCATCAGATTTTATTTGTATAAATATATATAGGTGATTTAGAGAATGGAAATGGTAAAGGAAAAAATTGTGTAAGGTTTTTAGTACCTATATGATACGAGAGACCATATAACACCCAAAAGGCTTGAGTAAGTATTAGGGTTTCTTATCAACTTCCTCCAGACCATGATAAGGATGAGTCTAGTCATGACACTTGCAGGAGGCATTTGGTGTTTTTTTGAGCAATCTGCTGCCATATCCATCTTCTTTTGGCAAGTGAAGGGAGACACATTTTGAGGAAACTTGCACCCATCTTCTACATCATGTTCCTTTTCTCCACTCCATTTCCCAGAAGGGCTCATGTTTTCAATTAATTGGTTCATTGCTGCATCAGCATTAAGCAAAAAATATAGTTGTAATGTATTGCTAGACTAAACAGAAAAGGCAAAATAGAGGAGGTTAACCATCAGAATGCAAACAAATTAAACATGTCTGTCATTTGTTTCCATGCAATAACAAGGAGAAAAATATGGTGGCAGGAGGGGGGAAATGAAGGTTGCTCACCTTTTGAAGCAGCGGATTCATGTTGAAAAGCCGCTTTAGAAGGGTCGGTGACCCCGAAATCAGTGGAGGCAGCTCCATTAACTGCATGCCTCAGGTTCCCTTCTGAAACCGGAGATGCACTCGAGCTCCAAACAAACATATGAAGCTCCTTGTTAGGCATTGCACTACCAGAACCACTTTCCTTCTTCTTTGGTCCACCACTTGTAGACCCTGAAAACATTGGATTTGGAGGTGGATAAGAAGAAACTAAACTGCCACCATTAAACAATTCACCACTCATATTTGTTCTTCCTTTTTTCTTCCCTAACTTCAACATCTCCTCATCATAATTTGAAGTTCTTGGTGTCGCTCCTTTCGAAGATTGCAAAGAGTAGACATCACCAATCCCTCCTTGGAAACTATTTGTGTATCCATGTTTCGGACTTGCGGCCTTGCTAGCAAACATGGCATAAAAATCTGTTTGATTAAAGCTTGAAGCTCTCGGTGTTGGCTCTCGGGAAGATTGAACCGAGTAGATCTCCACACCAGTAAGATTCGAAGCTCTCGGAGTCATTGAAGTTATTGAGTTTAGTCCATGAGACTTGTTAAAGGAAGACACTATTGATGATGCATTTGATCTTTTCACCACCACATGTAGCTTACCATCATCTCCAATCTCAGCGTCAGCCTGTAATGGTTCTCGCCCGTTGAGCGAAACAACATCAGAGTCAACTCTGAATGATGTAATAGACCCAGCCGTTTCAGGGAATTGCTCGGAGATTAGTAGCGTAGCTCCTCTATATTCAAACAAGAAGAGCATAAGAGTATACCAAATTACACTTTGCAAAACCACAATTTGAACCATAAGATTCCCTGAGAAGTCTCCATACATGGCTTTCAAAAGAGGGATTCCCATGACAAGAGTATTTGGGAGAGTAGAAAGAGAGAAGAGAGTGATCATCCATTCAAGATTCCCACGTTTGCTAAAGGCTTGCCAAATAAAAAGAGCCCCAAGAATAACAACTTTTTGAAGAGTATCCGCAGCAATGAACCTATAGTTCATAGCATAAGGATCATTGGATGATATGAAATGGAAGGACAATAAAGGAACTGCAAAGACTGCTACAAAACGGTTAATGCCTGAGCATTGGTCAGGTGTAAAGATTTTCCACCATCGGACTGAGCCATAGGCTAAAATCATAGCAACATATAGAGGCACAATTGCCGCTAGAACATCATAAATGTCCTTGCCAGTGATCATTGTTAATGGAGCAGAGAAGTTGTAAGAGCCCGAAAGAGGGGAGCTGTGAGATAAAAGAAGGATGGTTATGGGGTGTTCTAGTTTTCAAACTGGGAAAGAAGGAAACATGAGTGAAGAAGCTCGGGAAGCTTGTTTCTCTTCTCAATGAGGAGACCAAAGGGGAAGAGTTAAATGGTTGTCTGCCATGTTTATAAATGGTGTCTTCCTTTTTAGTTGAAAACAAAAGGAATGGAATAGCGAAGATGGTTTATTTTTTAGTTTTAGTTTAGTTACATATCATAATTCATAATTTTTAGTTTTAAAATTCAATTGAGAATTGTCTCATATCATGATGAGTTGGGAGGCCTAATAAAAAAACCAGTATTATTTTAATAAAATATTAATATATTAATGATTAAGTTTTAATCAAGTCAAGTTCTGGATAATCAGACCATCTTTTTTTTTCAATTTTTAATTGATTTAACTAAAAAAAATTTAATTTTTTATTTAACCCATATCAGTTTAGGCCATGCATCAGCCAAGTCTACCCACTGGCATTTCAAGATTTTAAAACAATGAATAATTTTAATAAATCAACATTAGTAGATATAATTTTAAAATTATTTATTTAATCATTTTATCTAATAAAATCAATTTTGAGTTATAATAACTTCATTATATTTAATTTTTATACAATGAAAGCGGACTATGTCTTATTATATTGTTTAAAGTCCGATGGCCTTTAGATTAACATAAAAAAATACAAATTAACGTTTCTAACATTTATTTTAAATATTGTGTTATTTCGGATACTTTCTATATATTAAAATGAAGTGTTTTTTACTCAAATTGTAATGAAATACATTCACATTTGAGTCAATGCATTTAAAAAAAAATAAAAAGAAAATCCCATAATCTCTCTCGAAGTCGAGAATTTTTCAGCCTATCATGAATTACATGAACTCTAGAGCAACAGTTTACCCTCGGGAACATATATTTCAGACTACTTAATGTTAGTTCATATTAATTTATATTACTAAGTGTTAACAAGTACCTGGTTCAACTTAAACTATAAGCAAGTGGGAAAGCCAAATCCACAACAACAGTGAGGAAATCTTTTTTCGTCCAGGACTTGTCCATGGTCAGACAGAAAGGATTCCTTCTGGTACAAAGATAAATAACATGTAGGAGATAATTTACTTATGAAAGACTTAATTAGTGGGTTAATTTAGATTATATTTTGGTTAGATTTGCTTGAAGGAATTAATTAATAATATATCGCAAATAAGTCATATGGTGCATGAGTTTACTTGATTTCATTTTTTTCTTTTATATTATTATGCTTTTTTAGTTTCTTTTTTTCTCTATTTAAAGAAAGTAGTTATTTTATTTGATTTTCCCATTCAGAATTATTAAAGTTTTCTTATAATAGTTTTTTAACAAGAAAAATATAAGCTAATAAAAATTAAATATTTTTTTACTTTTTTATACTTCGCTATTATCTACGGAAGTTCATGTATGAGCCAGGCAACTTCCAGTGATCTGCGGAAGAAGGCAGGATCTGTTCAATAGCATAAAAATAATGTTTTGCCGGGACTTGGGCCACGCCAGTAGCTGTCTAGCTGTTGTTCTTCGGCTCCCAAAAATTTTAGCCCTACAATATTAATGCTCGAACAACTTTATATTATAGAATATTTAAGATGTATATGTTGATGTTCTTACTAAAGACTTGACAATGGCGTACCCTCTTCCTAGAATCACAACAACTTAGCCTATTCTTTTATAATGGATGAAAAAAAAAATTAAACATATATATGACATAGCCTTCCCCTTAAGAATCAACCTATCATGTAATCCTAAAATTAATAAACTATATACTAAATTGATACGCCGCAAGAAAAAATCAAATCCAGTCTTTTACTTATAGTTAATTACAATCAACTGGTCACTCATCTAATTTAAAAATTAATGAATCCGGTCAAATTTATTGAAAATAGACTTGAACTGCTTGTTTAACCAATCAAATTGACCTGGAGTATGAAGAACTCGCGACACTGCCGTATCTAGAAATTGAACACTCAATATCTTATAGGAAAAGCATAACTATATCATGGGGCCAAAGCCATATATTGTGCACTAACTTGTATAGAAATTTACGAATTGAAATATTTAACATGACGCTTCATTGATTTGAAATAAGAAGAAAAAAGTAGTCTTCCATGAGAGTCAAATACATGACTTGATTTATAATAGTAATTGTAGTCAAGGATCAAACTTCCAACTTGAATCCATTCAAGAGATCAAGCACCTTTACCACCATGAATGATGACTTTTTTGCTCTATATTGAGTGCTGCACATAAACATTGAGACTAATTTTTATATAATAAAATGAGTTTTTTATTTATCATCTCTAATTGTGCTAATTAAATTTCTAAATAAAGGATTTTTCTTCAATATGTCATTCCGTTTATTTCTTCCATCTAAAATAACAAGAAAATCATATGATATGCACATAATATATTTTAGTTTAAAAAATTCTCATTACTCTAGATAGGTTATATAGCTTATATGTCCTCGTATGTTCTTGAATTTTAAAGGTTATGTCCAATAAACTTTTATATATTGTAATATCAATTGTGTTCTAAATCTTTAGATAAGATATAAAAAAAAAACCGGGTAGTTCATATAAAAAGTACTCATGTGAAATCCAATTGAGAAAATTGAGTTAATTTAAATGAAGTATCCTAATTTCAATTATTATATATATATATATATATATGATACCTTGAAAAACGTGACACAAGCATACATTAATTATTAGAATTTAAGATTTTTTTAAGTATTTTTTGTCATGTAGTAATTAAACATACAAAAAGAACAAATATTTAATTGTCTCATATTTTTTAGTTATTTAGAGGAGAATTAATCATTTGGTTTTAAAAATTAAACTTGAAGTATAGTTAACATAAGTAAATTTGTTGATTTGAATTAGTACAATATTATGAAGAACATGTCTAAGATCTAATTAAAATTTTCAAATATACCATACAATTATCAATATAAAGACACATCGTTTGAAATATAATGACTGGATGAGCTATTTTATCTTAGAGCATTTTTTATATTAAAAGACATTATGTGGAAGTCATACGATTTATTATGCTAGTTCGGATAATACAAACGAAATAACTTTATTCATAATTAAATGAACATAATTATAGATACAAGAATAAATTAAAAATTAATGACCCCATTGTATAAGAAAAGAGTAGCTAGGCTGATCAGTTGAACCACGATCCAACACCCATATCAATTCATTGATCGGGTCGGTGGTGATAACATTGCTTCCACCGTCTCTAACAAGCAGGATCGCTGGTTGCAAAAGGCTCAAAAACAGTCAGCATCACCAGTCTGCTGGGGACAAGGCAAAGGAATCAGCTAGCCACCTCCTGCCGATAAAAATAGTAGAAAAAAATAAACCACAACAAATTAAAACCATTTACAGGCAGAGCAATCAAAAACTAAATTTCCCGGCCCGTAGTCACTCCATGATGAATATCTGTTCATGAAACCAAGAGCCACGTTAGAGGAACATGCAAATCTACAAATAAGACAACGTCGATAGGTATAAATAATTTCAGTACAACTTGCATTCTTCGGTTTCACCACAATACAGCGGAAGAATCTTTCCTTTAAATGAATATAATATGCAACAAAATAGGAGTATGTTTAATTCTGGAATTCTAATTTTTATTTTATTTTCTTATTAATTTTGACCAAGTTCTTGTCACGATTGGGTAAAATTTGCTAATTCTCACATGCTTTTGATCTTTTGCTTCCTTTTGAAGTTGAATGTATGCTTTTCTCGGTCCTTGTGCTGAGGAGGTTAGCAAGTTCTAATACTCTGAGTATCTTCAATTTCCTGGCCAGCTACGACCAGGCTAGCCCAAACTCTTGTATCCATTGTTATTGATCGACCTCAATAAGAACCCACCTCTTTCATGGGTTCAGCCTAAATTCATCTACCATCATCATAAAACTCCTTGTTTCCTGGTGTAACTTTCTCTACATTCAATAGTGGATTCAATTTTATTACTTTGAGTTTGAACTACACTATGAAAGGTAGTCCTATTAAAAGATTTCGAACTACATTATGAAAGGTAGTCTAATCGTGTTACTTAACATAGAAAAAAATAAATGAAGGGTTGGGCCCTTCTTTAGTAAAACATGATATCTAATTTTGGAATCTAACATTCAAAAACATTTATTAGATTTATTTCAATTTTTTAAAGTATAAAACAAAACCAAACTGAATTCATCGGTTTGGTTCTGTTTAGAATTTTGAGAGAGAAAGAAATTGGTTCGGTTGCATTATTGGTCCAAAATCAACCATTTGAACTTATGCTCATCCATGCTTAAAATCGAAAAAAAAAAAGAAGAAAAAAGAAAAACTTAATCTCATTGACATAAAAACTAGTGTGAAAATACCTATATTACCATCCAGTAACCAGGAACACAATTTTGTTACACTCTTCACAAGTTGCAAGAACTAAACAGGAGGCGGACAAATTTAATTATTTATTTATTTATTTATTTATTTTTGCTAGTGGCAGGAAAGGGGCATTACAAGTTGTGCATTTGTTGAAGTGTAATTAATCTGTACTTTGCTCCTTTGTCATATGCGTGCAAGTGATCATATATATAATCAAGTCAGTGGGTCGACGTTTCTCATCCACTTTCCTCACAATTCTCACCCACAGTTGCTTCTTCCATCACCCTGTATTCATATAATAATAATGGAGGTAGATTGGGAAAACTTTAATATTTCTCCACTCTGATAATATAGTGGTCACAGATCTAATGGTTTACTTATGTGTACTTTGAACCCATGATTGATTGTTTATACTTATTTGGTTGATCTAAGTGTTTATGATTTGTTTAGGGAAATTCATCGTATCTTCTTCCCATCAAGTTGAAGCTATAAACAACAGTATAATCACTTTGACGTGCGTAGTCTAACACTTGAAGAACTTGTAAGCTTTGCAGATCTTTAAATATATTCTTAGGAGCAACCCCACCAGGGTTAATAAAACCCTAGATCTATACAGAACTTTGGTAATCATGAACTGGTGAATTACGAGACAAGATCCAAGCAGGTTAGCCGAAACTTACGAACTTGGTTACATGTCGGTAAAAATGGAAACCCAATCCAAGACGTGTTCAAAACCCACGCTCATTGACCAAATCTTTAACCTCTAAACGCAAGTTAAAGTATTTAATTCTTATGGTATCGAATATTCGTTATGGATTTGGAGATATTAGATAAAAATTAAATAATTGTAAGATGAACAATCAGGCCACTATATTTTTGTCATTGAAAGGCGTGAGAGAGGTGGTAGATTGAGAGCTTGTAGATCCTAAATTTATCAGGTCTCTTCTTGCCCTGGAAAACCACATCTATCATTTAGAGCTTTGTTTCGCTTAAATTCAAATTGATCTAGAAATAAATAATCCAATAAAACTTGTTTGATTTGGCCAAGACCAATTCAAATATAGTTGGTCATTGTCAACAAAATTCTTCTAAAAACAATTGACTTGAATTACCTCTGTCACCCATAATATATAATTTAATAATCTTAATTTTTGTTATGGTTAGTTACCATAATAGCTCTAATAATGATGAAAGTCCTTTAAGTTCAGCACTGACGGAACCACTTAATACAAATTAGGTTTATATGATATGAGACAACTAATGTAAAAGTCTCGTTTGGGGTTGAGGTTGTGATGCAACCTTAACCTAGAACCATCAATACTTCGATGTTTTTAGAGTTGAGGTTGCATTGCAGCCACAATCTTAACCCCAAACAAGACTTGAGTTAGGTTTGTTCCATGTGAATTTTGTTTATTATGATTTGATTTCTTAAGTAATGTTTATTTACTGTAGCAATACAAAATAAACGAGAATTATAAAGAGAATAAATATTTATTCTAAAATTATTTTAGTTATAAATTTATTTTATATATAATCTTCATTTCTCTGCTTTTCTATTTCGAAACATTAGAAAACACAATTGTGGTGCCGTTAATAAAATAAAATAAAAAAACTATTGGAAAATAGAAAATTAGAAATGATGGGCGTGGCAGAAATTGCTTCCCTTCTTTTGACGCAATCTCCAGCTATGTTTAAAGAGGCGTTCAAGCTCTTCACCACGTGTGTTGCTAATAAAATACTCAACCATCAAGCGCTGACCTAAACAGCAATTATTATTATTTAAAGAATTAGGTCAACCACCATGAATGACCTTTATCCGCTTGATCTAATATAGTCTCGTCCAACGGCTAGAAATTGGTACCTGCTACCCCACGTATAGAAAATGGAAAGTCTGAGACAGTTTCACTTTTCATTTTCTCCCTTTTTTTAAAAAAAATAAAACAAAAGTCAAACAAAAACCTTGTTAAATAGGCTCTCCCTCCACCCAGATTGTTGTTTTGACTTGTTTTTTGCATAGATATTAATTCCCCGCTTGAAGTTCAAACCAAGCATGGTTTATTTTTAATGGATTTGGTTATTGATATGATGAATTTCAAGTGTTTGGTGGGTTAATATGTAATTTGATTAATCTAAACAAATTTAGGTGAGATATAATTGGATCAATTTAAAAAAAAATTCTTTGAATTTAACATCAATTTAGTTTTTCTTTTTATTAGTTTTTCTTTGAATTCAACATTAAAAAAAAAACCCTTCCATAGTATTTCTTTTTGTTAGTATCCATTATCTAGTTGCTGAGTTATCAAGAAGTTTGCTGGATATGAATCGACGAAGTAACTTGTAAGGTTGCAATAACTTGTAAGTAACAGATCTTGATTAACTTATTATTCTCAAACAAGAATGACTAAATTGTTAGTTTCTTGAAAACTACAAGGACTGCATTACTATTAGACTAGTTAATTAATCATGTGAAAATTACCTTGATCATCTTATAGTTTAATTATTTTTACAGCTACCCTTTATATTTTGAAAAATTATAGTTTAAAATTTTTATTGAGTGCAAAATAAACTAATTAAATTATAGAATGATTTAAGATGTAAAGTATTAAGCATGTAGTAAAGTATGTAAATTTTAATTTTTAAAAATACAAAAGCAATTGTAAAAACTAAATATAGATAGGGTAATTTTTCTTAATTAATACATATATCGTCATATTATTAATTGTTGAATCCAACTATCGAGAACAAGTGTTTGGATTGTAAAGTGCATTTGTATAGTTTTCAGGAGTTGATTCAAGGACTGATTTGAGAAAAAAAATCAGGTTATCAAATCATTGGGTTAACATATAAATTATTGGATCAACTTGGTTAATTATTTTTATTAAAATAGTGTTGTTTTGTTTAAAAAATTATTATCTTTGACCTAATCAAGTTTAAAATGGATTTGATCAAATCAACAAAATCACAAAAATTCCAATAAAGTCAACTAGATTTTACGGAATAAATATCTTATCCGGCATATCTAAAAAAATCAGCTCATAGCATACTTTGAATCTCATATTTTTGAATTGATTTAATAGCTATATGTATATGGTAAGTGCACAGAGAAATCAGGTGTGCAAGGGAGACTTCTCCATTGATGAGTTGAAACCAGCAAGAAATGGGCGAATTCCTTCTTGCAAGGCAGAGGAACTTTGACTGCAACAAAAATTATCATACAGTCCATTTTTTTCAAGGTGGTATTAGTTGTAAATGTTCGACTTTTAATACAAACTATTTTAACTTAATAATCAAGATTTTTCTGTGGCATGATATGTGGCTGATTGAGTGTGATTTTCATTACCAGACAATATTTAGAAAAGAGTATTTAAACAATATTTCATAATATGTGACTGGAAGTATATTCTTTTTTCTTTTATTTATTAATCATGGCTTCTTTGCTGCTCTAATAAAAATAAAAGGGGAGTTTCTTTTAATATATGGTTTTGAATCTCACAATTTGAGAAGCAAGAAATATTAGATTAAAGCAGAGTCAACATTCAATTCATGCATACAATAATTTGACAATGTCAAAAAGAGAAGGCAAGCAGGTCTTGTTTTTGGTGACCAAGAAATTGTTATGAATATCAACCCCAGTTAACATACTTGGTAATTTATTTATTTTTTAATTTTTTTTATTTAAATTAAATTAAGTCATGCTTTAAACTGATGGATAAATGAAAAATAAAAATCCTCTGAAAACAATATGTTAAAAGAAAAAAAAAGCATAAAACTTTAATTGCAATTTTTGGTCATCACAGACATTTGAATATGAATAATTCAGTATCCATTGATTTCAAAGATCTTCTAGGAATCCCCAACATATAACCTTGTCAAACCCATAAATAAAGACCAAACTAGAAGACTTGAATTTCTCGTCTTCTCATTTATAAACAGTGGTCAGCATAACATAAATTACATGAACCAATGTTTTGAAAGATGTTATAATAATAAAAAATAATGTTATAAATACATATAACGGGTTGATTTGAAATTAAAAGTTTGCTTATAAATACATATAACTCTATTTATTTTATATTTTTAAAATATAAAATAAATAGAATTTAGAAATTCAAGCAGTCATATTCAATTAACTAGATAAAATTTAATTTAATTGGATTTTATTAATTATTTCAAACTAATTCACTCGACTGACGACACGAAGATAAAAAGAATAACCTCATTACCAAAACTAACCATTGTAAAACCACTAAATAAATAAAACAAATTAAAATAATTCCCAACGACTTTAGTTTTATAGAGCACTGTGGTCTCTCATGCATCTAGAGCCTGTCTGTCACCCACTATGACCATTGACTATCCTCCAATCTAGAAAAAATCAAAAGCCACATCTTCCACCACCACCACCATCAAAGTACTCAATTTCCACAACCCTTCTTTTCTTTTATTACACATCTAGGTCCCACCACTTTCTTTCAAGACTTTTCTTGCAAGCTCTCTCTCTCTCTCTCTCTTACAGAAAGTCCAACCAATCTCCACCCTTAGATTGACATTTCCATGTTGACTTTGCACCCTCCATTTCTTTTATAAGCCCCCTGGCTCTTCTCCCTTCTTCTCCTCCTTTCAAAACACCACCACCCCATCTTCCAACTCTCTCCTAGCTCCAAGGGTCTTGCTCTTCTTCTTCTTCTTCTTTTTTCATCATGGCTGTTGATCTAGTTGGGTACTCTAAGATGGAAGACCAGATGGCTATTCAAGAAGCTGCATCAGCTGGGATTAAGAGCATGGAGCACTTGATCTGTGCACTTTCTAACCAAACCCAACAAAGTCACCAACTTGACTGCAGAGAAATCACGAGCTTCACCGTTGCTAAATTCAAGCAAGTCATCTCCATCCTGAACCGGACCGGTCATGCCCGTTTCCGCCGTGGACCCACTTCTTCCAACCCGGTTTCCGTCCGACCTGTCGTCCAAGAACCTCAAAAACTAAATCTTGATTTCTTTAAGAGTAACAATACCTTTAAAGCGGAGACCAAAAACGACTTGTCATTCGGCAGTCAGTATTCCAAGGATTGTTTTAGCTCTGGCACGACTACTTCGTCCTTCCTATCTTCTGTGACAGCTGATGGGAGCGTCTCTGATGGGAAACAAGGTGGCTCGTCTTCTCTTTTCGGAACTCATCCTCGACCTACCGGAAAACCACCTCTCTCATCTACCCACCGCAAGAAATGCCATGATCATACCCTCTCCACCAGCAAGATCTCCTCCTCTGGTGGCAGCTGCCATTGCTCCAAAAGAAGGTAACTTTAGTTTATCGGCAATAAGTAATAATTACATGCGTATTAAACATGACTGTGATTTAGATTTTTTTTAATTTAATTCAATAATTCATGTGTTTACATGTTAATCAATGTTAAATATTTATTTATTTAGATTGTAAGTTACAATAATAATTTATATTCTTACATCATTATTTAAAAATAAAAATAAAAATAAAAATAAAAATAAAAATAAAAATAAAAATAAAAATAAAAATAAAAATAAAAATAAAAATAAAAATAAAAATAAAAATAAAAATAAAAATAAAAATAAAAATAAAAATAAAAATAAAAATAAAAATAAAAATAAAAATAAAAATAAAAATAAAAATAAAAATAAAAATCAGGATATAAAAATCCTCTAATTTTATTTTATTTTTATGATTTTAGGAAATCAAGGGTGAAGAGGACAATAAGAGTACCAGCAATAAGTTCCAAAGTTGCTGATATACCAGCAGATGAGTTCTCATGGAGAAAATATGGTCAAAAGCCAATCAAGGGTTCACCTTACCCAAGGTATTTATTATTTTATTCTATGCCTTGATCATCCACCGTTAACCATGCATGGTTTTTGGTCCAAGTCAAATAAATGTGACCACAATTCCATGATTGTCAAATAATAATTATTTTTGTGCTCCTTGTTTTGCAGAGGGTACTACAAGTGTAGTAGTGTGAGGGGATGTCCAGCGAGGAAGCACGTGGAGCGTGCCGTAGATGATCCGGCCATGCTTATTGTAACATACGAAGGGGAGCACCGTCATTCACATGCTCCCCTACCTGAAAATGTCACAGCTAATGCTGCCATACGACACGTGTTCCAGTCAACATGAGAGACGCGGGAAAGCCCATCGATGACGTTGATTGATCCATCTTGGACGGTGGCGAAAGGGGCTTGACTCTGTTGCCGTGACAGTCACGTGACGGTATCTTATTGGAGAGGAGTCAAAGTAGAAGAAGAAAAGTCTAGTGGTTTGTAAAGAACTTCTAGGATGAAAATGATGGGCCACGTTCAAGTGGCCTGGGAATTTCGATTTTGTATAAAGAACAAGAAATTGTAGAGTAGAAATTAAAGAAAATCAATGATGGTATTATTAATCAATTTGTTTCTTCATAGATTTGAGATTGGATTCTTTGATTTGAAATCTGTGGTGTGATCGCGAAAGAAGTCAAAATATGTGGGTGTGCTTGGAATATTTTGCAAGTGTCATGTAGTGAGCAGGAGGTCAAAGGAAATTGCAGGCATGGGGGCCATGACAGCTCTGTGAATTGGTTCTGTTGGTTGACTAAATGAGATATGCTTTGCTGTTTTCTTGGTTTTGTATGAGGTTGGAGGGTGCAATTATTCTCCATTCATGGGATGCCTTGGCTTCTTTATGGGGTGGTGGGACACCGTGGGGGCTCATGTGCCATGGATGAATGAACAGGTAAGCAGGCAGGCAAGGGCTCATGTGCCATGGATGAATGAACAGGCAGGCAGGCTTGAAGAAAAGCTAGGGCCTAGAAAGTTTAAAGAAAGTTGACTATCCAAAAGAAAGAGATGCCTTCTAATGCCGTGGAGGGAGGAAAATGTGACAAATTGACAATTTTACTTTGCTTAATAATAGTTTCAAAATGTTTTCTTGAATGAGAAAGCAATGCCTATTTCATTGTTTTTTGAACATGTAGCGTGCGTTTTGCACTGCCATTAAAATATATTTTTAAAATCATATAAGAAATGTTCAAAATCATTTAAAAAAAATATTAATTTAATGTTTTCTTTAAATAAAATAAACTTTAGAAATATACCCTAAAACAAAAGTTATTATACTTTCACATGGAGGACAATTAATATTTTTTTCAAATTATGTGTTTATATTTTTCTTTTCTTTTCTTTTCAATTAGATTCATTTGATTTGGGGAGGGTTTTAGACTAGATTTTACTCGGATAATAGACACCAAATAAATATGTAGAACTTGATAACTAAAATATAAAATATAAATATTTTAATTTTTTGCTTGAAAAACAACTAATGAATTATAAATATAATTCAAAATTCACTCATATATGCCTATTACCATCACTACAAATACCCAACAATGATGTCTTTGGTGTCAAGCAAATTAATGTGTTGCTGGTGATAGTTGATGAGTGAGTTTCTTTCACGGAACAAACTCAAATTCTTCATTAATTATGTTAAAAAAAATTCCCACTAACCAAAGTTTGAGTCTCATGGATTTCCAATGGTTGCCGAGCCTTAAATAGTTATTTTACAATTTTTGAACATTTAGAATGAGCTAAGAAAACAAGTGGAGGTGAGAAAAAATGTTTTCTTTAATTGTTATGGTGTGTATATTTTTTTTCAATTGGATTTATTTGGTATTCAATGTTGAAAATATTTTACATATAAAATCATTAAAAATAAAATTCTCATAAATTCTATTGTTTATAGACAACATGACTATAGGACGAGAAAACAAAATATTAAGTATTTATCATTGACAATAAATTGAAAAATTGCATTAAAAATAGGTGATTGCGAGTCAAAAGTTCAACTATCATGCAAATTTGATTTTTGTCATGAATTAATTGTTGATGTGTTCCTTTAGATAAGTTAGATTAATAGAGCTTTGCATGACATGACTTGAGATATTTGAGTGGATTTTTTTGTTTTTAGATTTGAGAAAACCTCATTTTTTCAGAAAATATATTTTATAGGCCCAAATAAATAAGTAAAACTTCGGTTGTTCTAAGTTCTTATAAAAAATATATATTTTAAATTAAGCTCGAAACCTGCTATACAAATCTCAAATCTTTTACCATTACGCTATATTTTTTAGGAACTTTTCATTAATATATTATTGATCAAACTGAATTGAACAAGTCAAATAAATGTGACCACAATTCCATGATTGTCAAATAATAATTATTTTTGTGCTCCTTGTTTTGCAGAGGGTACTACAAGTGTAGTAGTGTGAGGGGATGTCCAGCGAGGAAGCACGTGGAGCGTGCCGTAGATGATCCGGCCATGCTTATTGTAACATACGAAGGGGAGCACCGTCATTCACATGCTCCCCTACCTGAAAATGTCACAGCTAATGCTGCCATACGACACGTGTTCCAGTCAACATGAGAGACGCGGGAAAGCCCATCGATGACGTTGATTGATCCATCTTGGACGGTGGCGAAAGGGGCTTGACTCTGTTGCCGTGACAGTCACGTGACGGTATCTTATTGGAGAGGAGTCAAAGTAGAAGAAGAAAAGTCTAGTGGTTTGTAAAGAACTTCTAGGATGAAAATGATGGGCCACGTTCAAGTGGCCTGGGAATTTCGATTTTGTATAAAAAACAAGAAATTGTAGAGTAGAAATTAAAGAAAATCAATGATGGTATTATTAATCAATTTGTTTCTTCATAGATTTGAGATTGGATTCTTTGATTTGAATTCTGTGGTGTGATTGCGAAAGAAGTCAAAATATGTGGGTGTGCTTGGAATATTTTGCAAGTGTCATGTAGTGAGCAGGAGGTCAAAGGAAATTGCAGGCATGGGGGCCATGACAGCTCTGTGAATTGGTGCTGTTGGTTGACTAAATGAGATATGCTTTGCTGTTTTCTTGGTTTTGTATGAGGTTGGAGGGTGCAATTATTCTCCATTCATGGGATGCCTTGGCTTCTTTATGGGGTGGTGGGACACCGTGGGGGCTCATGTGCCATGGATGAATGAACAGGTAAGCAGGCAGGCAAGCTTGAAGAAAAGCTAGGGCCTAGAAAGTTTAAAGAAAGTTGACTATCCAAAAGAAAGAGATGCCTTCTAATGCCGTGGAGGGAGGAAAATGTGACAAATTGACAATTTTACTTTGCTTAATAATAGTTTCAAAATGTTTTCTTGAATGAGAAAGCAATGCCTATTTCATTGTTTTTTGAACATGTAGCGTGCGTTTTGCACTGCCATTAAAATATATTTTTAAAATCATATAAGAAATGTTCAAAATCATTTAAAAAAAATATTAATTTAATGTTTTCTTTAAATAAAATAAACTTTAGAAATATACCCTAAAACAAAAGTTATTATACTTTCACATGGAGGACAATTAATATTTTTTTCAAATTATGTGTTTATATTTTTCTTTTCTTTTCTTTTCAATTAGATTCATTTGATTTGGGGAGGGTTTTAGACTAGATTTTACTCGGACAATAGACACCAAATAAATATGTAGAACTTGATAACTAAAATATAAAATATAAATATTTTAATTTTTTGCTTGAAAAACAACTAGTGAATTATAAATATAATTCAAAATTCACTCATATATGCCTATTACCATCACTACAAATACCCAACAATGATGTCTTTGGTGTCAAGCAAATTAATGTGTTGCTGGTGATAGTTGATGAGTGAGTTTCTTTCACGGAACAAACTCAAATTCTTCATTAATTATGTTAAAAAAAATTCCCACTAACCAAAGTTTGAGTCTCATGGATTTCCAATGGTTGCCGAGCCTTAAATAGTTATTTTACAATTTTTGAACATTTAGAATGAGCTAAGAAAACAAGTGGAGGTGAGAAAAAATGTTTTCTTTAATTGTTATGGTGTGTATATTTTTTTTCAATTGGATTTATTTGGTATTCAATGTTGAAAATATTTTACATATAAAATCATTAAAAATAAAATTCTCATAAATTCTATTGTTTATAGACAACATGACTATAGGACGAGAAAACAAAATATTAAGTATTTATCATTGACAATAAATTGAAAAATTGCATTAAAAATAGGTGATTGCGAGTCAAAAGTTCAACTATCATGCAAATTTGATTTTTGTCATGAATTAATTGTTGATGTGTTCCTTTAGATAAGTTAGATTAATAGAGCTTTGCATGACATGACTTGAGATATTTGAGTGGATTTTTTTGTTTTTAGATTTGAGAAAACCTCATTTTTTCAGAAAATATATTTTATAGGCCCAAATAAATAAGTAAAACTTCGGTTGTTCTAAGTTCTTATAAAAAATATATATTTTAAATTAAGCTCGAAACCTGCTATACAAATCTCAAATCTTTTACCATTACGCTATATTTTTTAGGAACTTTTCATTAATATATTATTGATCAAACTGATTTGAATACTCACTAAATTAAAATTGATTCAACAAATAGCCGGGCATGATAATTTAATTCAAATTCAAGGAATACTAACATAAATGAGTTGATCTTTTTAATTAAATATTTTATAATTTATAATTTAATGCATGTACACATAACTCAAAACTAGATCCAAAACACAACATACACAACATTTGTGATTTTATAATTTAATACATGTACACATAACTCAACTATATATATACTTTTTTATTTATTTCATGTTTAATAATAAATAGTACTAAATAAATATCTAATTAAACTCTTTTATTTATCTAGTAATGAATAAAGTAAAAACCGGACCCATAAATTATCCATTACCATCCCCTACATAAACCCACCAATAATGTCTTTGGTGTCAAGCAAATTAGAGTGATTTTGGTGTGACTGGTAAATGAGTTTCTTTCACGGAGCAAACTAATTTACCAGTTATCAATTATGTCAAACAAAAGGAAGAAAAAGAAAAGAAATCGCCACCTACCTCCAAAGTCTGAGTCTCATGGATTTCCAATAAGGTTGCTGAGCCTTCAAATTCATCATCAATGTTTGGGCTCATTATTGGATTTTGACGAGTAGATGGGCCAAGTGTACACGTTCTTCTTTCAACCAAATTCTGACATCGACCCTCCCTCCCTCCCTTCACACCATCATCATCCAGAAATTAAGCAAGGTTCTCCCTTCTCAACTACTTGCTAATTGAAATTCAACTGATATTTTTAATAATGTGGCGAATATGCATGTGTGGTGTCCTCAAGAGATATAATGTGATACTAAAGAATTTGAAATCTGTATAGTAAATTTGAAATTTTAGTTAGAATATGCATTTTTTATAAAAAAAATTAAAATAATTGAAATTTTATTCGTCTAGGTAAACGTATAAAATATATTTTTTAAAAGATAATATTTACTCAAATTAAAAAAAAAATGTATGTGGGGTGGATACATACTAAATTACTAATAAATTGCATTTTATTATTATATCTAAACAGAAAATAAAAAGATTAAAAATAGAAATGATGCATTTTCCTATCAAGATTAAAAATTCAT